GAGAGAGAGAGAGAGAGAGAGAGAGAGAGAGAGAGAGAGCGCCTTCTCAGACTGCCACCACCACCCTACCATCACCTCTCAAATCCTGTTTAGTCTACAAAACCTATCACTTCCTCTGGAACATCCTATGAACCAAACTTCTCCCCCTCTTTCCAGGTCAGAATACATTGATCCACTTTGTGAACTCCAGACAGCCCATTGTATATGGACTGAATTTTATGTATCGGTATTAACATCTGTTAGCATCTGTATCTTGTTCTGGTTTCAAATCTCCTTAGGGAAAAAGCTGCTGAATGTGCTGATATCTTTGATAGTCCATGGAAAGTTTCTGGTATATATTATTTCTGTGATGAATATTCCCTGAATAAATAGCCCAAGGGTTCCTTCTGGGTATCAAATTCTGTGATTCAGTTTCACAACAGAAAACAATGAATGGCAATCTTTCTACTAACTGGCAGAGGGCTGTGTTTGCTTTGCTCATATGTACCCACACACAGGCTCTTTGCTTTTTAATCAAGAGGATCAACTTTTTGGATTTCTTATATCTTTTCTGTCCTGAAAAGATAGCTCTGGAGACAACATGGTATATTAAATGGATGAATTTTAATAAATTATAATGCACATATACTCATTAATAATATATGTTCCACATCAAGGCTTCAACAAAAATTAAAATTTAAATATCTGTTCTAATATGGATATGAACTTATGTAAGAGTTCTGTAATAAGCTCACAATGAACTAGAATAAAGTGGGAAAGAATTTAAAGAGATCCTCTGAAAGCTGATGGGACTTTACTATACAGCAAAGTGGTAAGAGAAGTTAGCAGCTCCTGAGCTCACTGAATACGGAAGCCTGTCCATATACTGGTCATTCTCTAAGTCCCCTAGTCATGGAAAAGCTGAGAAGAGGGGACTGATCTGTCTGCTCAGGGTTTAGACAGATGTCTGAGAATTTCACACACATTTATACTTCATTTTGCCCCCAAAACAAATTCTTCACTGTGTACCCTTGTAAGCAAATAGGTAAATTATTATTTCTTGGCAAGTAAATATTTATGATTTTTGTGACAGTATCTTGCTCCATATCATTTTATAGAAATCAAAAAAAATTGAGGAGATTTTTGAGAGATTTTCACATGTGACATTTAAAATATAATTTTGTTTCGAAAACTGGAGACTTAGAAGCTTTCAATGCAATGAAATGAAATCAATGCACAACCACCCATTTCTTATGACAAAGTATTGGCACCAAAACAATGAGGTTGTCTTTAAAAATAGTTTTATATTTATTCAGTGTGTGTGTGTGTCCATGTGCGCACACGCCTGTGTGTGGAGGCACCCATAACAGTGTACACATGTGGAAAACAAACTTATGATAGTTGTGTTCTCTCCCTCCATCATGTGTATTCTGGGAATGGAGTCCAGGTTGTAAAGCTCTGCCACAGGAACCCTTATCTACTGAGCTTTCTTGAGCTTCTTCCATACTGCTGTGACTTTGGCAAGGCTAAATGACACACACAGGATCTCTGAGACCGACGCCACAGGATCCACAAATGCCCACCCCATAGTCAACATTATTTTCTTTCAGTGCCAGTAAGGAAGGCAACATCAGTTCAAAGTGATTCTCAAATATAAAAGCAACTTTATCCCACTAGAAAAGCATGTTTGGCCCTGTGCTGCCTTCCTATCTTAGAGACTGGGATGACCCATAGGAACCAAGCTCATAACCAGAGATATGAAACAGGTATATGTTGACTCTGGGTATTAGAAACTAGCAGAAAATGGCGACTTCTTCAGTATTTAGAGACATACAATCAAGAGAGGATTCAAAATGGACCGGAGATGACTGCAAGCCTTAGTGTTTAGCTTTGTACAGCCTGCCATGAGTAAAGAACACAAAGGAAATGGTTAGTTCACTTCTAAGGAAATCGGAACTGTTATCTCCCTTTCTGACCCATGTGCTACTTGATCTAGAAAAAAAACAAAACAAGCAAACCACAAAACATAAAACAGGATCTCTCTTTACAAAATTAGTGAAAGAATAATTTAACGTTTTGATGGGACTTTGTTTGATGGTGAGATGTTATAAATGCTAACTTAAAGACGTCTTGGATTGAAAACTATTTTTTTTTTTGCCACTGGAAGGCATCGGGGGACTAGCAATTCCAGTACAAATTCAATAAAAACAAAGCAATATGATCTGTTCTCTTTACTAAACAGTCCAGATTTTCTCATTGTCTGTGTGCTCAGAATTTCCACACAACAACTTGGCAAGCATCAGGAAGCAGTTTAGGAGTAAACTGCTCCAAGACTAGAATGGATGTGGGGGCTGGAGGGGGGCAGGGAGCGGAGGAAATGTCAAAACGACTTTGATGATTAATTCTGTGCCATAGTCGCAGATTCTTCTCCAAGATGACTGATCGATGCATCATGTTTTGTTATTGTCTTAGTTTCTACTTTTCTGTCTGGAATTTAAAGATGAGACTTTTGTGGATGACACAAAGGAACTGCTACTTCTGCTTCAACATTCTTGTAATTTTAACAATTTGTCACACATCCTGCAGAAGTAATTATTTTACCTGCCTTGAGAAATCGAGCCAGGCTCCTCCCTCCCTTTGCCTTCTGCCCACCTGTCTCCAGCCAGGTGAGAGTCTTGTGTCTCTGGGCTCTGTAACTCTCCGTGCTCTTCTGAAGCCCAGGACACTAGTGGCCCCAATACATCAAGCAGTTATTTAAAGGAGAATGGTTAACTTCTGAGAAGTCCTGATAACATAGCAAGGAAAATGGTTGGCAGAGCTGATGATACATACCTTTAACAAAGTGATTTTTACTCCAAGGAACTATTTTTAGAAACAATAAAAATGGACTCATTTATTTACAGAAATCCTAGGAGGTCAAGTTTTCTATTATTCCTTTTTTATGGATGAGGCAATAAGGGGCCACAGTATCCAATATCATACAGTCCATAAGCAACTGAGTCACAGTGCATATCCCAGGGACGGTGGTTTCAGGATCCATTCTTCAGAGCTTTACTCTGCCTGCAAAGTCCAGTACAACCTCAAAGTTGTCTCAAGTACTTGGAAGGCAGTAAACCCAAAGAGGAACTAAGTAGAATTTGACCTGCTCAGAAAATTCCTCCAAAGGTTCCAAGGAGAAAAAGAACTAAAAGACAAAAATATTTGACTTAATTAAATAAAGGAAATAGGACTTGGGTGTTGGAGGGGTGGATACCTCAGTTGTTAAAGTGCTAGCCCTACAAAATGAGGGTCTGAGTTCAATTCCCAGAAACAAGATAAAGCTAGCAGGCACAGGAGCACACAATTGCAGTATCAGTGATGCAGAGGCAGAAACTATTAGTTCCCTGGGACTCACTGGCTGGCCAATCTATCCTAACCAGTGATCACTCAGCCAATGAGATACTGCTTCAAAGGTCCTCTTGCACCCCCACCCCCACCCAGGCATACAAGTGTGTGCACAATTGTAGGTTCATGTGCATCCACACACAGACACATGCACATCTGAATTTACATGAACAGGTATAGATTTGCACTCACATAAATAACAGAAGATATATATGTATTTTGAAAAGATGGGTCTCTTTTTCTAGAAGCACTGGCTTCTGCGATGCTGCTGTTCTGAGATGCTTATCAGTGACTTGGTTGATGATACTGACAACTAGAACATGGGTGGGTTAGACAAAATTTCTTCCCTGTCTTGCAATGCAATGCATTAGGCATGAGTTGCAATAACTAAATTGTTATCAACACTTCTTTATTTTGAAAGTTAATATATTGTGATCCAAGAAGTGTCAAAAATGGCCCCTTCAACAAATTGAAAAGCATTTCTGTCATTATTGTTTTAACAAAAGTTAAATATATTTGATCTCAAAGTTCCAGAAAAGACTATTTTTAAATGTTTTGTTTCTATTTAACCAATATACCCTATGAATTGTATATAATTTGAAACACTCATACATTGCAAATGACTGAATTAAGCTAAATAAATGTTCAAAATAGGCTTCTGCCCTCTTTATGAAATTTATCATTTAAAATTACTGAAACATATTGAAATAACAGAAAATCATATTGAATGTTATTTCACAATAAAAATTTGTAGCTTATCACCAAAACAGGACAATATTTTTTCCCTAAAGCCAATGACTGCAGGGTTTTCTTTCCCATTCCTTCTCTGTCTCTTGCTTTCTTAACAATCATGCATGTTTTCCATCCACTTAGGCAATTCTTATGCAAGAAGCTAAACGCAATTAAATGTGCAGGATGAAAAGATGGCCCAGGCACTGCTGGTACCCCCGGGACCTGAGAGCTTCCGCCTTTTCACTCGAGAATCTCTTGCTGCTATCGAAAAGCGTGCTGCAGAAGAGAAAGCCAAGAAACCCAAGAAAGAACAAGACATTGATGATGAGAACAAACCAAAGCCAAACAGTGACTTGGAAGCTGGGAAGAACCTTCCATTTATCTATGGAGACATACCTCCAGAGATGGTGTCAGAGCCTTTGGAGGACCTGGATCCCTACTATGTCAGTAAGAAAGTGAGTGCTTACTTTATATGGCCAATACATTCTCAATTAGATGTGCAAACCAGGGACTTGTGTGCATTAGAACATTGCAATTGTTATCTGTGAAATAGTTTATGGCACTCTTTACTGCTACACATCTGGAAGAACAGAAACATTGATAAAAAATGAAGTCTCTGCTACAGAGGAATAAGTGAAACAATTTCTACTATTTCATGATATCAAGATAAATGGGAAAACTTAAAATTGACAGTAAAGATAAGTATCTGCTATTATTAATCCATTTAACTGCTTGATAGACAGCCAAATTGTAGTTATAAGTTGGATGCTATACTTATTTTTTAGTTCATACTTGGCTTGATATTTTTTACAATCATCTGTGCTCTATAAGACAGCAATCTGCTTATCTATTCCTAGAGACAGGTGATTCATGGGGAAGCACGTTTACCCAGACATACATTTTTAGTCTTTTCCCTCTAACTTGGCATATGATTAGGAACTTCTATAGGCTTCATTGAGATCGTGATAGGAGAAATTCTAGACTATCTACAAATAGTTAAAACGTTACCACAAGGAAAGAAATATCAAGATTAGAAGAGAAAACACAGTGATAATAATAACAAGAATCTCCATGTAATTTAAAGGAACAACTATGACTATGTTTTTCTGATATTTAAAATAACTACACGGTTCGGCCAAAATTAGTTTCAATATTTAAACCAGTTTTGTGAGACCTATAGAGAATGTAAATAAAGAAGTCTGTTTTAATACCTAAATGAATATTTTGGCACCTTTTCATCACAAGGTATAGCTTACCTTCACGAGGAGAAAACAGTTTATTGTAAAGACAAATTAACACCATTCCCAGTTGATGATTTCTGGAATAACAACTAAACAGAACACATTTACTTGTCAAAGTAGAACTTTTTAAAAGCAGTGGTTGAAGATACTGCATTTTTAAAGTAGTGTATGATATGAAATTTTAAGTCCTGGGGGGATTTGAGATGGCTCAGTGGTTCAGAGCACTTGGTGTTCCTGCAGAGGACTGGGGTTTGGTTCACAGCACCTGTGTCAGGTGCCTTAGGAGTGTCTGTAATGACAACTCCAGCAGATCTGACCCTCTCTCTGCCAGGACTCTAGCACACATGTCCATATATAAACAAAGACATACACATAGATAAAAATAAAACACAGATTTACAAACATTCTAAGTCCTTTCTACTAAGTTTAACAAAGGAAGGTATTAAAGATACGTTCATACGCTTCTAAAATAAACTGTGACTTACTACAGAGATAATCAAGAACTATTTGAAATTTAGAAACTCTGACTTTATAAAGGATGATTAACAATAAGACACTTCTAGAGACTAGGAAAATTGACTTCATTTGAGAAAAAAAAAAGGTCTTAAGATATACATTTGCAGCCATCCGTTTTGTCTCATACCTGTAAGCCCAGAACTTGGAAGACAGAGTCAGAGGAGTCCTGAGCACAAGACCAGCCCAGCCTAAGCTACAGAGAACAACCCAAGCTACAAACCCCAAAGTATATGTTTTAAAAATTATTTTCAGAACACAAGAGTTTGTTTTACTTTGATATGAAATTGGTATTACTCCTTTAAAAGCAAAAAAAACAAAACAAAGGAGCCAATCAGTTTGATAGGGTTATCAGTGTAGAAGGAGAGCTATATTTTCTTACATTAAAAGTATTTCCTTTCCAATGACAGTATCATCTCTTTATGAAAGGGCTACCCTGGGCTAACCCCACCATTTGATTAAGAAAGCTGTTTGTCCCAATGTTCAATAAGGAGTCTCCTATCAGCTTTGTTTTCCCACAGATTTCCTGAGGGAAAAGCATCACTATAATTCTCTTTTCTACATGAGAATATTATATACACATTTAATGTCAGTTGATTGGCATCTGACTTTACGGGTCAGGCTTTCAAGTTTGTTTAATTTTCTAGTTTGCTACTAGAAAACAGAATCGTTCTCCGTGCATGGGAAAGGACAGGCGTTGCTCACTTCTAACTGGAAACCAGACTTGAATCATAATTCATAGACAGTGGCTCTGAACCATCAAGGGAGAAGCCCCTCCTTCACTGATGAAATACTTCTGAGGATGAAGAATCAGATGCTACTTGCAGAAAAGTGCTCTGTGACTCTTAAAAACTAAAGGGAGAAGATAGTGTATGAATTCATAGAATTTCACCATAGTACAAAGCCATGTTAGTGCATGACGATTTGTGTCACCAAAGACTACATAGACCTTGAGAGTTTCATGTAATGATTTGCTGTCGTTGATTAGTGCTGTATCTTAGTGCCTAATATAACTAGATGAGTAAGACCACAATGTATTTTAATAGCATTTAAGTTGGCCAGGTTAACAGCTTAAAAATAGTGGCGTGATAATATTAGCTAACATTTGTTGGGCTCGCTCTATGTCAGGAGTCACTGAACTCTTCAGTTCAGTTCATACCAATGAGCCAGTGGAGCAGTTGCTATTGTTAGTCTCAGTTTACAGACGGGAAAGTAAAGCCAAGGCCAGTTCCTTCCCTTACCAAAGTCAAGCTCCATTAACGATAGATCAAGGGTTGGAGCCTCATCTGGCCAGCTTCAGGGCTCTTGACCACTGGTCAAACTCTCTGCAGTAACATAAATGTAAAATAAGATTGTCACAAGGTAGTTGCACCATCTTTTAAAAGGCTTTTTTACTGATTCTTTGTGAATTTCACATCGTGCACCCCAGGCCCATTCATCTCCCTGTCCATTTGTATATACCCTCCACCTTTGCAACATGCTCCCCAAGCACAAAAACAAAACAAAACAAAACAAACAAACAAACAAACAAACAAACATATCTCGCCATACCGTGGTGATCACACAGTACACTGTTGGCCCAAACAGCATCCTTGGACATGTTCATTGCTATGAGTCACTGGTCTGGTTCAAGGCCTCCAGCTTCTGCTGCATCATCAATACTAGAGCCTCACAGGGACTCTTCTCGGATATCCTGTTACTGTCCTGGGCTGTACCACCTTTTTTAAATTTGGTGCTTGATATATTGCATTGAGGTACAAATCTGCTGCTTCTTTCACAAAAGTTAAGAATTTCAGTGAACTGATTAGTATTTATCCAGGAAAAGAGAAGTAATTAGCACTCCAGATAATAACCGTTGTGACCAACTTCAGCAGCAGTGTTTATAACAATACTGGTGATAAGCATAGGACCTTTTCACAGTGCCTTACCACCTATTGTTACTTGGAAACCCGACTGTAGAGTTGGTGTGACTTCTCTGCATTCCAGCCATCTCTTATATTCTCATGTAGGTTTTGGTATAGGTACATCACATGATAACATCAGAACCCCAGGCTTCAAACATCTCCTTGCAATTCTTTCACTACATAGAACATTAGAATTTTACTCTTTGTTTCTCAACACTTGAAGTATGCATTGTTATACAGAGTAGATGCACCACGTTCACCAGTGTAGGAGCCACTAGCACCCACAAGCTAACCTTGAAGGAGAGGCAGAGGGTTTCATGTTTAAGGACAATTCATTCTCGAGTAGTATATTTTGGGAGATATTTCAAAATACACGCGCCTTCTAATGTTGCAGTAGAAATTGCTTTTTTCGGGGAAATTGTTTAGAAGAGCGTGAGTTAATGCACTTTAAATCATTGTGAACTTTTACACACCATTGCTGCTGCTGCTGCCTAAATCGATCTTGATTGCTGTACTGTGAATTCGTGACAGCCCCCTAATGCTTCTGTAGTTCAGGGCAGGCTTAGTGAGGCTCAATGTCACCTGCAGCTAGTCTTGATGCTAGTAAAGGATAGTTTATTGCCCTCTTCCTAGAATTTGTAGAACGCAGCTCATTGAAAATGGTTAGTTAAGTAATAGTTGGCTCGATGGTCTTAAACCCAGAAGTGCAGTGCAAGCGTTGCTTGTTGTCCCTCCCCTTTCTGCTCACAGTATAAACATTCCTGCCTGCCTCTTCAAACAGAGCCTGTTGCAAGTCGCAGTGAATGTATGGGATACAGCCTTAGTCAAAGGGTGAAAACATATTATTAAGTAAATCAGTACATACAACAGATGTCACAAAGGTGAACAGTGCCTTAAAGGTAAACCCATATTTAATTAGAAAAAAGCATTTATTGGCAAAGCATGCTATTAAAATCTGTGGGGGAAACACAGCCATAAACTGCAGGGTTTTTTGTGCTCAGTCATTTATAAAACCATCTAACCAGGTTCTCCCACAAATGAACCCTGTGTAGAAATTGCTACTTGATGGTGATTACCAGCAACATGCGAGAGAGTACAAAGAAATACACTAAAGGTTAGTGGCGGGAGAAACAGCTAAGGAATGATCAGAAGGCAGTGTGATTTATCTGGGAAAATGTAAAGGAGGGAGTGATTTGGGTACTGAGAATGGAAAAAGAGATTGAATAATAAGAGTGCCTGCATATTCGAACTACCTAAGGATAATGTCTAAAATACCTAAATATTTGTCAATATCTTCAAATTTAAACAATGACAATTCTGAAGAACTTCTAGGACATCCTATCATGAGGGTCATGATAGGTAGGATAAGCTTGCATAGTTAGACCTTTCTACAGGTATAGCTGTCTCCACTGAGTCTGTGACCACTCCCATCACAGCTGGAAGGAAAGGTTGACAGGTTCTGAGTGGGATTGACAAGTAGATTAAATGGCTGGAACAGAGATGACTGTAGTGGCAAAAAATAAAGGATGATCCATCCTGGGAGCCCAGAGAGGTAGCCATGGGTCTGCATAGCTTAAATGCTAAGATGATGCTGTATGTTTCAGATCATAGATTTTAACTATGGCTTGGCCTTTGAAGTCACACATTTAAAATTAATTTTCAATGCAGCTGTCTTTCCTCAGTATAAGCTACGAAGTGAATTCTTCTCAGCACACAAAATCAGGTTCTATAACTTATTTAAGTGTCTTAGATCAATTCAGCTGCTATGGAAATAATGGGAGGCCACCACAAAGCTAGGGTTAGAAGGTTTAAAATTTTTAATTTCAATAAATTCAGTAAGTAAATAATGATACTCATAAAAAATTATTTTAACACTTATATATTCTGAATGACCTGAAAAGTTACCAAAGCTGGAGACAGACGGCAAGACTCAGATAGAAATGAACCTTGTAAAGTTCTTTAATTTGATTTTTAAAAGTATGCATGTCTATCAGTTTGTATCAACAAGTTTGGAGGCTTATAGGCAGATAAGGTTGTAGTCCACTGGGCCTTCATGTGTCTATTTGTGTAGAAGAGAAAACACTTAGCTTGTGTCTAGTAAACAAGATATTGGTTATGTTCTAACTGGCCTAAATGAACAGGTTTGTACAAAAAAAAATCAAGTAAAAGTTCTTGATGTGTGTTGTAATGCATCAAATACGTCTGCATGTCAAATTTAGTAATTTCTCTCGTATTTTCTTTTTCAGACTTTTGTAGTGTTGAATAAAGGGAAGGCAATCTTTCGATTCAGCGCCACCTCCGCCTTGTATATTTTAACTCCACTAAACCCTGTTAGGAAAATTGCTATTAAGATTTTGGTACACTCATATCCTTTTCATGTGAAAATGCAGTTTCTAACAGTTGGCTTCCAATGAAATGCCCTTCTCATGCTTTTTATATTTATAAAATGTCTTTACAGCAAATGGTAACATTGTTAGTTTAAGCCATTGATTTCCATCGGCTTTCTGTTGTTTATAAAGTATATAAAGTTGGTCATAAAATTATTATCATGGTTCTAGAGGCAAATATGAAACATGCTAGCCAGTTTGTCAATGAACTAACCACACTGTATAGCAGAAATAAGAGCAAATCCTCTTTCCATTTTTTATCGTCAACTAAATCATTAATTATTGCTGAAGAAGCCTAGCCTACTATATGTACTACCAAATACTCCAACATTCATATCTTAATTGGCTATTCATCCCCAGCAAATTTACATACCCCCTTTTCCTCCTCTCTTCCTCTCCTACCTTCCTCCATATCCCCTCCATTTCTTTCTTGTTTTTTTCCTTCTATTCTTTTCTTCCCTCTCGAAACATTCATGAAACTTCTATGTGTCTATGTACTTGGATAATAATATATCAAAAAGTCACCAATCTTGAAGTTCTTTATGGGTCTGTGATGTGACTCAGTGGTACAAAACTAGCCCAGCATGTTCAAGTTGACAAATTTGGTTCTCAGTGTGGCATATACACGTGCAAACTATAACAGTAAAACATTCATATTATGGGAAGAATAAGCATAGATTACAGTAGATCCTGAAGTAATGACAAAATACATTTAAAATGGTGCTCAGTAGTGGGTATTTTCTATAGGCAACTTCAAAACAGACTAATAAAAGTAAAATACATTATATGGACATAAGAAACAGGAGATAACCCTTTGAAATCTGTATGAATCCTCTCATTCTCAAGTTTGATATGAGAAGGTGTTTATATTTTAAAAGAAAGTTATTTGTCACATGAACTTCTGTGTAGTGAAATCTGTATTGAAACAGCAAGAATAATGTTTCTACCAGAATAGCTAATGATACTATCTTGTTAGCACAAAACATCACCCCCTATAGCATGCCGTAAACTATTAAGAAATGAGTTACATCGCTATGAGGCTGCTTTAGTATCTCTTTACAAGGGAATTCCTAATCAGTTCCTAATCTTTTAGAGAGGATACTAGGCCATAAGGAAGGCTTTTCTTATTAACCAAGGTCTGAACCCAGCCATGTATGATTAATTCCACAGTTAAACTGTGCTTTTGAATCTTTTGTGTTGGATAGATTTTAGGTGTCTATAATGAATGGACATTTATTCCTTAACTACAATCCACTCTATTCAGCATGCTTATCATGTGCACTATTTTGACCAACTGTGTATTTATGACATTGAGCAATCCTCCAGACTGGACAAAGAATGTAGAGTAAGTAGGAATATGTTCTTGGAATGAAACAGACACACACACACACACACACACACACACACACTCAGATTCTCGGGCAATCACTTTGTGGTAATGGTCTGACTTGTGGCTTCCATTTTTTCAAGTCATGCTAAACACTCCTGTCGTTATAGTTTTGAGAATGGCATCCAAGCAAACGACATCAATTTTTACTTCCAGCCCTCCCCACGATTGCCGTAAGGATTTTCTATACCATTGTAAGCCACCACTTGTCAACCATTTATATTTTAGCAAAACATCATTTAGAATATTTGAAAATACTTTCTGCTAGATGTTACTGTCATAGTGGATCCTGTTCTTAGGTTGAGGCAGCTCTTTCAACTGAAATACCAGGTACCATTTATGACTTACAGTTAACAAAACTGAAACACTTATAAACTTTGATAAAGTTTGACTCCATGTAAACTGTTTTCTTTCTTTTTGTTTGTTTGTTTGTAAGGTGTGTAAACTTTTTTCAATAAGACTAAATGAGGCATATAGGCACCTATAAATTTCATCTAATTTTAATAATATAAGATGAAAAGCTAAGTAAAGGGGATATTTGGATATGAATCTTTTTATTCTGTGTGTGTGTGTGTGTGTGTGTGTGTGTGCGTATGAGTGTTTTGCCTGCGTGCATGTCTATACAACATGTACATGTGGTGCCCATGGAGACTAAAAGAGGGTTTTAAATACCCTGGACTGGAGTACAGAATGAAATCCAGGTCCTTTGAGAGACCAGCCTTCTGTCTAGCCCTGAGTGTCTTTTTTTTTTTTAAGGGAAAAGTAGTATCTTTGAGATGCTATACACTATTAAAACAGTTCGAGTGTTACAAGAGTTTTTGGCTTGCACATTTCAGTTAGGCAAATGTACAATATTTCTAACCAACAACATCTGGTGGGTTTTTTACACTGTAGTAGGAGACAAGCACAATTGTGGTTGTCACTGCAAATAAATAAATGAAATTTAACAAGTGAAGCCAAACAGAAACAAATCACCATGGAACCCAAGGAAAAGAGAAGACAGTAAGATAACTCACCCCCGAGATGAAAACAGGTCACTTCAAATAGTTCGCAAACATCCAAACTGAAATACAAGCACCTGCAAGCATCATATGGTAAAAGGCTTTTCTTTTTAACACTCAGCTCCTTCCTAAGTACTAATTATACTCTCTGCCCCTGTAACCTGTGGAGCTGGGAAGAGGTGGGGGATGGAGAGAGAATGTGTTTGGGAAACTAAATGTAATGATTTCTGCAACTACTGCTTTGTTCCTCATTATGAAGGAACGTCTCACACAAAAGCATTTCACAAACACTAATCTTAACACTTCGCACACATTAAGCAATTTTAGACTGTAAAACAGAGTGAGTTGTCATAGATAATCAAATGTTTCTATGGCTTCAATGACATACTCTGAAAAATAAACTCAAATTGTGCTTTTAAAGGAAGTAGTGTTTAAAAACAAGTACTCTCTGCTATTTTTGAAAGAAACAGAAATAACTTAAGTTGTCATCACTTAGAAATGGACCAGAACACATAACGATAGACCACAAACTCAAAAGCTGTTTGCCCCCTTGAAGGCTGAAGCTGGATTTCAAGCAAGTTTAAATACAAAATTAGATTAAAGAATTTAGTATATCTTTGATCTGAGGATTTTAGGCAAATATGGATGTGATATCCTTAAAAACTGATATATTTTATGTGATCATAAACATATACGCGAAGGAGACACAGAGATAGATGAGAGGCAGTTTTATAATTTTATTCCTGACTCTTAAGAATAAGAAATAATACTATTTCCGATCCACTGTAATAGCCTTAAATGAGCTTAGCCATTGAAAACTTGGATAGTAATATTTCAATACAAATAAATGAATGTACACTATGCTGTTTATCAAAAAAGACACCAACTATGTGGTTACTGAAAGGTAAAACTTGGCTAGTTCTTTTTTATTGGCCACTAGCACCGAGAGCACTGCCCTTGTGGGTATAGAATATGGGAAACTCTTCTTCTTTTTAGGAACATCTTTATCAATTCTTTGAGAATTTCACACCGTGTATTTTGATCACATTCACTCTCCCCAACTCTGCCAAGAATCTATTGTTCAAAAATGTAAGCAGTTTAGCAACAGTTTTGAAGAACACATTTATGACAAATGTATTATTTTCACTTAAGTTTAATAATTCACTCAGTCTAATAAGAATGATTAAATTAAGATTCTTAGTACAAATAAGAAACTACATTTTGTAAAACAAAGGAAAGAAAGAAAGAAAGAAAGAAAGAAAGAAAGAAAGAAAGAAAGAAAGAAAGGAAGGAAAGAAGAAAGAGAAAAGAAAAGAAAAGAAAAGAAAAGAAAAGAAGAGAAGAGAAAAGAAAGCGAGATAGCGTTTGCCATGCAAACAAAACCATCTCTTTAACTTCTTGTCTCTAGTTGCTAACTTGGCTTTGGTACTTTTCCTAGGTATACATTCACTGGGATCTATACCTTTGAGTCACTCATAAAGATCTTGGCAAGAGGATTTTGCTTAGAAGATTTCACATTCCTTCGTGACCCATGGAACTGGCTGGATTTCAGTGTCATCGTGATGGCGTGAGTAAAAATTTTTTTTAAAGTCTGGCAAATTCAAAGCAATGAAAATATTTGCTGTAAAAATCAATTTAATACAAGTTTGAAATACAGAGCTTTCTTGTTAGTCCAATCAACTCTATGCCATATACATTATGTTAATATGAATTAGGCTATTAAAAGATAGACATATCTAGCAAATCAGCAACACATGGAATGATTTTATTGTCTCTTAGTCTGAGCAATATCTGGAGTTTCTTCATATCCCACCATCTTTTTCTTCATCAAAATCAAGTTACTTATTAACTACAATTTAATAGAAACTACGTTGCCATGATAAATTTTGCAAACAATCATCATCGTGTAAATAAAAATTATATTGAAATAAAGATATTTTTCCCTTAAAGGCAGCTTTCGGCCTTTGGCGTCCTGAGCCTTATATCAGTTCTATTTGTATATCTCACGGGGCTTTAGATGCCAACTCAGCATTAGTCATTTAAAATGAACTTTGCCAAAACTATCAGTAACTCTGATTTAATCCTACAGGTATGTAACAGAATTTGTAAACCTAGGCAATGTTTCAGCTCTTCGAACTTTCAGGGTCTTGCGAGCTTTGAAAACTATTTCTGTAATTCCAGGTAAGAAGAAAACGGTGTAAGGTGGTAGGCCCTTATATCTCCAACTTTTCTTGTGTGTTATTGTGTTTGTGTGTGAACTCCCTATTACAGATATGTGACAGAGTTTGTGGACCTGGGCAATGTCTCAGCGTTGAGAACGTTCAGAGTTCTCCGAGCATTGAAAACAATATCAGTCATTCCAGGTGAGAGCTAGGTTAAGCACCGAGGCTGACTTTAATCATACCATAATAATATTGGAGTTGCAACCCCACCATTGACCAAGTGGCTTTTTGTTCAGGTCTGTCACATTCAAAAATGCCAGATGGTGTTTCAAGTGTTGGTTCAGTTCCTTTAAAATGTTAATAATTTCAACTTTACTCATAAAGCCAGCCTCTGAGTTTAACAGAAAGTTGCATGAGATACCCACATATCATCGATGAGTGTTTCTGTAATCCCTCTCCTGCATTTAAGATGTATGTCTTCTCTCCTGCATTCTGATAAAGCACTGATGTCATGCCCTTACTGACTGCTTTGTATTTTACCATTTGCTCCAGATCTATTTCAAAAAATAGATCATTGTTCAGAAAGGAGGAAAGGCTATGGAGCAGCATGTGTGTGGCATGGGATCTTTAGGGCCTTAAAATTCTTTTTGCCTTTTAATTCACTGCTACTTGCAGGCTGGCAAAAAGAATGGGTTGAGAGAAACAGCTTCATGAAACACCAAAGTTGAACGACAAAGTAATTTAGTGTTCCATATGTTTGGGGCAACACTTGATATCACACAGACAGAACTTCCTAAAAATTTATGAACATTGGTTCAGAACCCTCTGGCAGCATGGTGTTCATATAGAAGTGGTCAGCCTTCCATCTGTTTGCAAGTCATGAGACTGTACATAAAGCTTTTATGTCTATGTAGCCACGCTGCCATTCATGAAGGATGTGGAATGTGTGCACCTATTAAGAAGAACTCTTGTCATATATCACACTCTGAAGCTGACATATAGTTCTCTCTTCAAAGGTTTAAAGACCATCGTGGGGGCCCTGATCCAGTCAGTGAAGAAGTTGTCTGACGTCATGATCCTCACTGTGTTCTGTCTCAGTGTGTTTGCTCTGATCGGGCTGCAGCTGTTCATGGGCAACCTGAGGAATAAATGCTTGCAGTGGCCCCCAAGCGATTCTGCTTTTGAAACCAACACTACTTCCTTCTTCAATGGCACAATGGGCTCAAATGGGACATTTGTTAATGTAACAATGAGCACATTCAGCTGGAAGGATTATGTCGCAGATGACAGTAAGACCCATTGCCACTCTATGTTAGCCTTAGCGTTGCTAAGTGAGGTTTCAACTATAAACAATTCAGACTATGTTTGGAGCCACTTTCTAGACAGACTTTATAAATGAACCACAGGGAAATGACTGACATAATCAAATACTGATGAATTGTTTAAAAATTTATTCGGGGGAGGGGGCGGTGGATGCATCTGTGCACAACTGCACAAATGAAAAGGTCAGAGGTCTTGTGGAAGTCACCACTCTTCTACCATGTGTATCCTGGGGATCAAATCCAGATCACCAAGGTCAAAAGCAGTCACCATGACTCAGTGAGTCATCTCACTGGATCAGCCCCAGACTCTGCTGTGTCGTTCAAATAAATAGAATTATGGAATCAAATTGCTTATTTTCTATATTAACAGGCCACTTTTATGTTTTGGACGGACAAAAAGATCCTTTGCTCTGTGGAAATGGCTCCGATGCAGGGTAAGAAGCAAATATTAAATAGATGAGGATGAGGATGATGATGATGATGATGAAGAGGTAGGAGAAATATGTGTAAATAGCAATGACTGTCTCTCTAGGAAGTGCAGTCTCTGAACTGTAAATGATCACCGGAAAGAGAGTTTGGAAAATTCTTAGAGAATGAACATAGTCATACCACCACTGCACTGCCAGATAGAAAGCCAGCTAGTTAGAAAACACATTTACCCAGAAATCTGTATGCTACCATTGTCAACTGTACAAATAAGTCAGGACAAACTGGAAGCAGCCGAGACGTCTTTGCATCTGCAAATAAACGCATAAGCTGTTGTATGCACATATAATGAAACATTGTTAAATGATAAATGAATCCAAAACTCACATTCATATGTGAGAAAGAGATAAAAAACAACCTGAAAAAGCTATGCACTCCAAGATTCTAACCGTGTGATGTCTGCAAAGGAGGAAATAACAGAGATGAACCAGAGATCAGGGTTCAAAGGGGCTCATGATGGGGAGC